ATGCCTCTTCACAGCAAAAATGTTATAACATGAACAGAGTTAAGAAAAAGACCTTAATCCTAACTTCTACAAACCTATGAATACAGAATCAACCCCTTCAGTGCTAAGCTTCAAGAAGTTCAGTGAATAGAATAGAAACAATATTTTTCTGATTGTTTGGAGTGGAATAGATCTGCACAAGAAGAAAGTGAAACGAAGTGTGAGGAGGAAGGGGCTGACAGTCTAAGTTTCTTAAAATATATATATTTTGTTTAGCCAAATTAGTTAACAAACATGGATGTTTGTTTAAGCAAATCACATATGCTGTAATGTTATTGTTTCAGCTGAATAAATCTATTTAAATTGTTATTATTAAGGTAATGATTATTTTTCTCCTTCAACAGAAAAGTTGTCCAAATATGAATGATTAACCTATTAAACTGGGGATAAAAAAAAAAACGAATATGAAAAGTTGTTATTCTAAAAATCTTCATCTACTTGCATATTAAAGTTATACCAGCAAGAATTAGTCTTTATGTAGAAAACTAGGATTTAAATCAAGCCTGACTAGTGATTTAAATCGTTTTGATTTAAATCAAATCCACCCTGCTCCTGACCCACAGCTGTGCATGTCCATTCACACACAGAGCCATGGCTCAGCCCCGCCTCTTCTCTCTCCTGACTGGATCACCAACTGAGATTGACAACAGCGGGAGCCATTGGCTACCTCAGCCAATCAAGAGTGAGTGTCCCCAGAGAACCAAGGCTCTTGTGGATATCACTGGATCGGGATGGGGCTCAACTAAGTGTTAGGGTTGGCTGGGGGGAGCTGCCGCACACAGAAGGTTTTTTACTTTCATGCATATAATGCATGAAGGTAAAGAACCTTGAATCTTTAGAACCACTTTAAAGGACTGGTAAGCTGTAATAGATTACATTTTATTTGGTTTAGAAGAGACTTTCACTTAAATCTGCATTTGTGCTACAAAAACACAAAGACAGACCTCCCTAGTTATGGCCTGCACACTTGCCAATCCAATAGTTACAGGGCTGATACTATTTGTATACAGAATTACTAACAAAACGAAAGCAAACTATAAAACCTATTCAAGATCAATATTACCAGATGAACAAAAAAAAAAATAAAAATAAATTGATTGAGGATTCACATTGTATGCATCATTTTTGCAAACTGTCCAGAAATGTATGGTGCATCTTTAAATTGTCAGAATGTGAAAAAGGTTTCTTAAATATTAATTCTTCTGTCCGCATCAGCCTTTCAGTGTTATCAAGTGTTGAGCAGATGGAAGATTGAAAATGTATTCGGCAGCTGCTGCCCAAACTGTCCACACGTTTCTAGCAGAAGTCTACATAATGTGGTCTATTATATTCCCGGAGTGTCAGGATAATGTTATAACAGTCCTGTGGAGTTTCTAGGTTATTGTGTTTATACTGATTGGGGGAGAATAGATAGATCTTGGTCTGTGCATCTAATAACATTTGTGTAGGTATACTGTACATACATGTATTCTGGACCTTCTCCTGCCTCTATCTCTGCAAAATGACCACCTTACAATCTGACTGAACAATTGCCCTTAGATTCACCAAAACATGATGACCTGCTGATTGGACTGTTTAGATAAACCCCTCACATTATAGTTGCTGATCAGTGATGAGCTCGGGCGGGCGGGCGGGACGCACGCACGCACGCACGCACGCACGCACACACACCTGAACTATCTTCATGGGATGCTGTGAAAGCCAGCAGACAAAAATAGGCAGTGGAGGCATTACCCTCCCCACAGCTGCATATATGCATGCCCCTTTTATATATGTGGCTGCAGGGCATGGAATGCCACAACTGCCTATGATTGACAGCTTCCCAGCGGGATAGAGCACACAAATTTGGGCTGGTGTCTGAACAAGCCTGAGCTCATCCCCATAGCTGATAAATCTAACTGGAAATTAGGGACACATAGGAAATGACAGAATGTCCCCCATTCTCCCACTGTCCACTCCATCCCTGAATGTTCTAGCATATAGTACTTGTCAGCAAATTCACACAGTCTATATGTCCATCGTTAATTGACATTTTTCAACACATCCTGAAGAGACCTCGTCATCACCTTACAGGTGAAACTCGAAAAATTAGAATATCGTGCAAAAGTTCATTTATTTCAGTAATGCAACTTAAAAGGTGAAACTAATATATAAGATAGACTCATTACATGCAAAGCAAGATAGTTCAAGCCGTGATTTGTCATAATTGTGAGGATTATGGCTTACAGCTCATGAAAACCCCAAATCCACAATCTCAGAAAATTAGAATATTACATGCAATCAATAAATAAGGATTGTACATAGAACAATATCGGACCTCTGAAAAGTATAAGCATTCATATGTACTCAGTTCTTGGTTTGGGCCCCTTTTGCAGCAATTACTGCCTCAATGCGGCGTGGCATGGAAGCTATCAGCCTGTGGCACTGCTGAGGTGTTATGGAAGACCAGGATGCTTCAATAGCGGCCTTCAGCTCTTCTGCATTGTTCAGTCTCATGTCTCTCATCTTTCTCTTGGCAATGCCCCATAGATTCTCTATGGGGTTCAGGACAGGCGAGTTTGCTGGCCAAGCACAGTAATCCCATGGTCATTGAACCAGGTTTTAGTGCTTTTGGCAGTGTGGGCAGGTGCCAAGTCCTGCTGGAAAATGAAGTCATCATCCCCATAAAGCTCGTCTATGGAAGGGAATCAGCCGATTTTTTGGCAAAAAAAAAAAAAAAAAAAAAAAAAAAAAAAAAAAAAAAAAAAAAAAAAAAATCGGCCAATTTTTGCACCGTTAGTAGATTAATTGGTCGGCCGTTTTTTGGGGTTTTGGCACATTTTTTTTTTTTTTTTTTTTTTTTTTATCGGTAAAGTTGGGGGGAAGAAAAAATCGTCCGATTTTCCCAGCAATGATGGGCAAATCGGCCGATCGTTTTACCGATAAAGTCTGCGCATGAGCCGTGACCTGCAAGAAGAAAAAGAATTCCAGTCCACTGTTATATTTTATATGAAAAGTATTGCGGTTGCAACAATGTATCTATTTGTATCTGAATAAAAACATCTGTATCCGAAATGGATACATTGTTGCAACCGCAATACTTTTTCATGTCAAATATAATAGCGGAGCTCTCTGCAAGGGACAGAAGTAATTAAATGCCGACCATAGACGAGACGCAAATCGGCCAATTTTTTTTACCATTGGTGGTAAGATCGACCTATTGAACGACCGGTTTTTCGTTTTTTGTTTTTTTTTTTAAATGGACGGTTTTCGACCCGTCTATGGCCTGCATTAATGAAGCACAGTGGACCAACACCAGCAGATGACATGGCTCCCCAAATCAACACAGACTGTGGAAACTTCACAATGGACTTCAAGCATCTTCCAGTGTGTGCCTCTCCATTCTTCCTCCATACTCGGGGTCCTTGGTTTCCAAATGAGATGCAAAAGTTGCTCTCATCAGAAAAGAGGACTTTGGACCACTGACAACAGACCAGGTCTGTTTTTCTTTAGCCCAGGTAAGACGCTTCTGACGTTTGATGTTCAGGAGCGGCTTGACAAGAGGAATACGACATTTGAAGCCCATGTCCAGGATCTGTCTCTTGATGCACTGACTCCAGCCTCAGTCCACTCCTTGTGAAAGTCCCAACACTTTTGAATGGCCTTTTCCTGACAATCCTCTCCAGGCTGCGGTCATCCCTGCTGCTTGTGCACCTTTTTTCTTCCACACTTTTCCCTTCGACATAACTTTCTATTAATGTGCTTTGATACAGCACTTTGGGAACATCCAACTTCTTTTGCAATTACCTTTTAAGGCTTTCCCTCCTTATGGAGGTTGTCAATGATGGTTTTCTGCACAACTGTCAGGTCAGCAGTCTTTCCCATGATTGTGATTCCTACTGAACCAGACTGAGAGACCATTTAAAGGCTCAGGAGCCCTTTGCAGGTGTTATGGCTTAATTAGCTGATTAGAGTGGGACACTTTGAGCCTAGAATATTGCACCTTTTCACAAGGATTTGGGGTTTTCATGATCTGTAAGCCATAATCATCACAATTATGACAAATCACAGCTTGAACTATCTTGAACTTTTGCACGATATTCTAATTTTTTGAGTTTCACCTGTAGATCCCAGGGGAAAGAACAGAAAAATAAAGTATTTTCAATGCTTACTTAAATGTTTGCGCTAAATACTTTTTTCTCACAATATGTCTTGGAACTTGCTAGGAAACGGACACTCCAAAAACTGTCAATTCTCCTTACATGTCACAGCCCCCTCATCTTTTTGGCTTGTCTACTTGCTGTCTGCACTGGCCCAGCTACCCCAGCCCTCCCTCCATAATCTTTTAAGTAGCTGCCAGGGTAAGGGCAGAACAGAATACTATAAAACATCCTTAGGGTAATGATTAGGTGCCGTTTTTCATGCGAAATGCATCTACCTGCTAGTCCTTTACTGTATCTGTATTTTGATCCTTGTGCTTCAAGTTTAATAAAGTGGATTGTTGCGTGTAGCCATCTGGGCTTCCTATTCTTCATATTGTTCAGTTAACCACTTGCCGACCGCGCATAGCCGAATGACGGCTTCACCGCGGCCGGCCAGTTCTGAGTGGACGTCATATGACGTCCTCCCAGAACGCGCTCTCCTGCGCGCCCCAGGGGGCGCGCACCCGGCGATCTCCGTGATCGCTGTGTCCTACGGACACAGCTGATCACGAGATGTGGTGAAAGGCCGATCCCACCGGCCTTTTACCACGTGATCAGCGGTGTCCAATGACACGCTGATCACAGGAAAATGCAAGTGCCGGTTCTCGGCTGCACTTTCCTCACGCTGTCAGATCGTGAGGAAAGTACTGCCGAGAACCGGCAGTTGTCAGAGCGGGGATCGGCACCGATCATCAGGGCACTGATGATCAGTGCCCTGATGATCGGTGCCCAGCAGTGACCCCCGCAAGTTCCGATCAGCTGTGCGCCCACTAGCCCCGCCCACCCATTCCCAGCAGTGCCCCCACCTGTGCCCAGCAGTGCCCCCACCTGTGCCCAGCAGTGCCCCCACCTGTGCCACTCTGCAGTGCCACCTACCTGTGCCCAGCAGTGCCACCTACATGTGCCCAGCAGTGCCACCCACATGTGCCCACCCACCTGTGCCACCAGCGCCACCCACCTGTGCCCACCCACCAGTGCTGTCCACCAGTGCCACCCACCAGTGCTGCCAGTCAGTGCCACCAGTCAGTGCCCAGGGGTTGTGCCAGTCAGTGCCCAGAAGTGATGCCAGTCAGTGCCGTCTATCAGTACCCATCATCAGTGTCACCTATCAGTGCCGCCTATCAGTGCTGCATATCAGTGCCGCCTATCCGTGACCCCTAATTAGTGCTGTCTATCAGTGCCGCCTATCCGTGCCACCTCATTAGTACTGCCTATCAGTGCCCTTTAGTGCTGCCTATCAGTGCCCATCAGTGCCGCCTATCAGTGCCCATCAGTGCCGCCTCATCAACGCAAATCAGTGAAGGAGAAAAAATACCTGTTTGAAAAAATTTTATAAAAGAAACAAATAAACTTTTTTTTTTTTTTTCAAATTTTTTGCACTTTTTTTAATTTATAGCGCAAAAAGTAAAGCGCCCAGTGGCGATTAAATACCACCAAAAGAAAGCTCTATTTGTGAGAAAAAAATGATCAAAATTTCATATGGGTACAATGTTGCATGACCGCGCAATTGTCAATCAAAGTGCGGCAGCGCTGAAAGCTGAAAATTGGCCTGGTAAGGAAGGGGGTATAAGTGCCTGGTAGGCAAGTGGTTAATGAGCTGGGCTGGCACCTGACTGGAGGGAGTGTGCAGGGATCACTAGAGGTAAACTCACCAGGAGCTGCGAAACAGTGTGTTGTGGTTGTAAAGGCAGAAGGGTTTTATTTTACCTTTATGCGTTCTGTGCATTAAGGTAAAAGTCAGTCTGTGTGCAGCTGCCCCTCCTGAGCCTGATCTTGATCCAACGCTGTGCCTGAGAGCAGCGTCTCTCTTCTCACTGGACATAGAGGCAGCAGCGGGAGCCACTGGCGCCTGCTGCTATCAATCACAATCAGTAAGCAGAGAGCAGGGCAGTGTGTCAACTGACACACACAGTGCAGCTCAGGATCAAGCCTGCTCAAGTGGCTCGCTATGGGGCAATCAGCAGGAGTGCCAGCAGGGGACCCCAGAAGACAAGGATCGGGGCTGCTCTGTGCAGTACTATTACACAAAGCAGGAAATTATGACATGTTTGTTATTAAAATTTAAAAGAAAAAAAAAATTTACAATCACTTCAAGCTGAATAGGCAATTTCTAATGCTTACTCATTCATGAATAAATATCTGGTGAGACTGTCAGCTCCCCATCCTCAGGGTAAGAATGCCATTTCACCTGCAGTGCATTCTGTGCAGTGTCCTGACAAAAAGGGATGACAAGGGTAGTCATGCTTATAACCCACCCCCATACCAATCAGTACAGGTCACATATCTGGCAGAGGGTATCTAAAAGGATGTTCTGCAGAGGAACAACACACCAACTGCCCCCTTAGAGCCCTTCTACCCACTCCAGCAGAATTAAAGTCATTTAAATGCCTATTTCTTTTATTTATTTTTAATAACACATCATACTTACCTACTCTGTGCAGTGGTTTTGCAATGGGCAGCTCTCATCCTCCTCTTCTGGGGTCCCTCTCCAGCACATCTGGCTCCTCCTCCACCCCTGCTGAGTGCCCCCACAGCATGCCACTTCCCATTGGGGCACTGGTGCATCCATTGACACGCTAAGAGAATCTCAGCCCTGCCCCCCTCACTGGCTGTGATTGACAGCAGCGGGGACCCACTGGCTTCCGCTGCTGTCCTGAGCCAATGAGGGAGAGGGCTTCTGCTCTTGTGCACATCGCTGGATCGAGATCAGGTTGCATGCATAAGGCTTTTTAAGGTAAAGAGAAACCCTTTAGAACCACTTGGAGGTCTCTGTGATGAGGGGTATGTAGGCGTACCTCTTTCTGGTGGAGAAGGTAGGTTACTAGAAAAGGATGACATGTACAGGAAGAGTGGGGGAGGGTGCCCAGGAATGTTCAGACCAAACACCAAATACATGGTATTTCCTGGTCATCAACCCTTGTGACCCATCTATTGCTGCAGGGGGAAGAGGGCTGAGGGGAGGATAGTCATCCATGGAATAGTGGGCAGGCTGGAGCAGGACAGGTGACACTGGAAGCTGCATTCCTGTACCAGGAAATAACGGTGACACCAGGCTAGACAGGCAGAGGAGTGTAAGCACCTAGATCAGCTGAACATCACCAACACATCCTCTGACAGTAAACATTACATGTATCACAACTGGCCATTCAGCTGCAGGCATTGCCCCCAGACTGACAGCCGCTCAGCACTGTATGAGAGGCCCTGTCCACCTAAGGGACCATACACAGCACAGTCTGGGCCCCGAGCAGGCCTCCTCTACTACACAGTGTGTGGCTCGTCCCCCTCCTGCCTCTGCAGGAAAGGCAATTTCCGGTGCCACCAGCCCTCCGTACTCCCAGTCGTGTTCCCCCTCTACAAAGACACAAGGTCACACATGCCCGGTCCTCACCTGTCTGCCCGTATCCGCCTCCTCTCTCCCGCCGGGAGATCTCCTTCTCTTCCTTCTTCTCCGGCCTTTACTTCCGCCTTTCCTGTCTCACTTCCGGGTACGCCCCACTTTCGTTCTCTCTGATTAGTGAGCACTGCAAGATGACAGCGCTGTCAACCAATCGTCTAGCCGAATCTGGCAAGGCTGTCGGAAATGACGCAAGAGAAACAGTAGAATGCGGAAATCAGGCCGCAGGAGGTGATGGGGATTGTAGTTCTTGGTTAAGGAAGTTCTGTGATTGACTTTCGGTTCGTTTGATGTTCTCTAGGACGGTGTGTGCCCACCTTATGCCTTGTGTGGAGGGGGCTGTGTGCCTATGGGGGGCTTCTAATTTGGTGGCTTTTAGTTGGCTCTCTGTTCCTTCTACAACCTCATCCATTTTAATTAATACTCCAGCCAAACCACTTTCCCAGTTATGGGTGGAGAAGGCTTAGTACCTCTGGTAGGCTTTTACTCATGACTATGATTCCATTGTAAGCAGTCACTCCCTGTATTTGTACTGGTGACCATTGTTACCTGGGGCAGACGATCTGCAGCGGCCTTTGTGGTGGGCTCATAACACGTGCATCCCCCCGATAAATGCAGCCCACCTGACCCCGTACCCACCTTTGTCTTCAATACAGTGATTTAAAGCTGTATCACACCCAAAAGCAAACATTTATCCTATTGTAATTCTTGGATGTGATGGTTGCATTAGTCTTTCTTTTTTAGGCTTTCTTTTATTTTCACCTGGTGATCCTTCCAGAAAGTCTGTTGTTTTTCAACAGAGCAAGCTGTCCTGGGGATGTAGCAGTAAGGCTAAGTATACACTAACTTCAAAAGCAGGCATTTTTGAAGGCAAGGTTCACACCTATGCAGTTTGCGTTTGACCCGTTTCTGCAGTGCTTTTTGTGGTGTGTTTTGCAGGGGTTTTTTCAACTTGTTGCTGGGCAGAGTAAAATGCATCAAAAAATGCTTTTCTGCGGCGTCTCCATTGAAAGTCTATAGAACCAAAAACGCAACGTTTTGCGTTTAAAAAAATCCCTGACCCTTTCCATAAAACGCATCGGGTGAAAATGTGGAGATGTGAACCTGTCCCATAGGAAATCATGTTAAATGGACTGCTGTGCTTTTCTGCAAAACACAGCGGAGAACGCACAGGTGTGAACCTAGACGAATGCCTGCTAAAATTGTGTGCATTGTCAGTGTTGTTCACATGGTCACAGTTGCGTTGCTTCGTGTTGAGCCGTGTCGTTTGTCAGGCTTTACAGCTTCCATTGATGTAAATGCACCACAAACGCCCCATGGTGTTTACACTGCATTTGAGATGTGTTTAGAAAGCATTACTAGCAGAGATGAGAGTACATAAATCCAAACAATAGAAAACTAACACAGCCTTCTGGAAAGCATGATTTAAAATGGCGAAAACATATTCTAAATGCATCATAAACGCATCAAAATGCATTATAAACGCATCAAAAATACATCTTCATGCAATAGGTGCCCTAATGGATGTCCAGATTCTAAAGTACTTCTAAATGAGGCCTGAACGGGTTGAGACAAACCATTTAACACTGATGGGTGCTTATGACCTTGTTCAGACTTTCTTTGCTGTCAGAAGTCCAATCTGAGTTGAGATCACTCTTCAAACAGCAATAAAAAGGCAGCAAGGAGGCATTGCCTCTCCATCGCTTGTTTTAACCCCTCCAATCACTGGACTACTGAACATGTTATGTTGTGCACACTTGGGGGGGGGGATTTGCAGTGTAGCCCCATTCACTTGAATTGGCGTGACAAGGGGATATAATCCCTGCAGCAGCAACAGGGGGAGCGGTTGAGGGGGCAGTAAAAACGCAGCTATATTGCAGGGTTTTACCACCCCTCAATCACAAGTGTAAACTAGGCCTACAATGGTCAGCTTTTATTCAGTTATATAAAACCTTTATCCCAAAAGGAAAAAACTGTTGCTGTAACTGCTTATAAAGGGTTAGCTGGATATGTAAAGCCAACATTTCATATTCCTGATATGTGCCTGCTGTACCATGTGTGACGATCGCAGCGTAAGACCCCTGACCTCACCAAACTCGTGACCAAAGGACTAGCCAGTCTAAAACCGTGATGTCACGTGCCTAACAATGCCACGCCCAGCTGCACCCTGCACAACGATTTTCCAGCTAATGGACCACAAATCGATGTACCGGCAGCCTGGGTGCGATTGTTACTGGGTCAGGTTAATTACGCAATTAACCCTTCACACTGCCACCACCTCCTTTTTGTACAGAGAAAGAGGAAACTCGGCAATATTAGCAATAGCACTATGATGGTTGAGATAATCGTCTGTATAGCACTGTCACCGCAGACAGGTTATAGAGAGGATTAAACACACACAAGTAGCACTCTTTTAGAGGCAGGAAATCGTAAGTTGCAATAAAGAGCTGTAAAAACAGTTCAACACTTTCAGAAAGTAGGATTTATTGCTAAAAGGTCAAGAGGGTGCAATAAAAACATTTACAGAAAAAAGATGTAACCAATATATATATATATATATATATATATATATATATATATATACAGTGGGGCAAAAAAGTATTTAGTCAGCCACCAATTGTGCAAGTTCTCCCACTTAAAAAGATGAGAGAGGCCTGTAATTGGCATCATAGGTAGACCTCAACTATGAGAGACAAAATGAGAAAAAAAAAATCCAGACAATCACATTGGCTGATTTGG